GAGGGGGTTCGTGCGACGCACGGTGGGGGGGGGTGGGCGAGGAGGGAGTCGTGCGATGGACACGTGTGACGTGGGACTGATGATGCACAGGGGGCGAGGAGGGAGGCGTGCGACGCACGGGGGTGTGCGATGGAGACGTGCAAGGAGGGAGTCGTGCGACGCACGGGGGAGTGAGGAGGGACACATGCAATGAGGGAGTCGTGCGACGCACGGGGGCGTGCGATGGACACGTGTGACGTGGGACTGATGATGCACAGGGGGGTGAGGAGGGACTCGTGCGACGCACAGGGGCGTGCGATGGACATGTGTGACGGACTCGTGTAATGCACAGGGGGGTGAGGAGGGACACATGCAACGAGGGACTCGTGTGACGCACAGGGGAGTGCGATGGACACGTGCAACGAGGGACTTGTGCGATGCACGGGGGGGTGAGGAGGGACATGTGCAACGGACTCGTGCAACACAGGGGGGTGTGACGATGGGCACGTGTGACGTGGGACTCATGCTGCACAGGGGGGCGAGGAGGGACTCGTGCGATGCACGGGGGCGTGCGATGGACACGTGCGAGGAGGGAGTCGTGCAATGCACGGGGGGTGCGATGGACACGTGTGACGTGGGACTCATGCTGCACAGGGGAGTGAGGAGGGACTCGTGCAACGCACAGGCGTGTGCGATGGACACGTGTGATGAGGGACTCGTGCAATGCACAGGGGGGTGAGGAGGGACTTGTGCGATGCACAGGGGGTGAGGAGGGACACGTGCAACGGACTTGTGCGATGCATGGGGGTGTGCAACGAGGGACACGTGTGACGTGGGACTCGTGCGATGCACATGGGGGTGTGTGATGGACACGTGTGACGAGGGACTCGTGCACAGGGGTGTGAGGAGGGACACGTGCGACGAGGGGCTGGTGTGACGCACGGGGGCGTGCGATGGCCACGTGCGATGAGGGACTCGTGCGATGCACAGGGGGGTGAGGAGGGACACATGCGACAAGGGACTTGTGCGACGCACAGGGGCGTGCAACGAGGGACATATGCGACGAGGGACTCGTGCACAGGGCTTGAGGAGGGACACGTGCGACAAGGGACACGTGCAACGCACGGGGGTGTGCGATGAAGGACATGTGTGACACATGGGGGTGAGGAGGGACTTGGCCGATGGACTCGTGCGATGCACGGGGGTGTGCGACGGACACATGATGCACGGGGGAGTGTGACGAGGGACACGTGCGATGCACGGGGGGTGTGAGGAGGGATGTGTGCGATGCACAGGGGCGTGCGATGAGGGCCACGTGCAACGCACGGGGATGTGATGAGGGACACGTGCAATGCACAGGGGTGTGCGAGGAGGGACACGTGTGACACACGGGGGGTTGAGGAGGGACTCGGGTGATGAGGGGACTCGTGCGATGCACGGGGGCATGCGATGCACGGGGCTTTGCACTGAAGGACTTGTGCGACGCACGAGGATGTGCCATGCGTGAGGTTTTGTGCAACGAGGGACTTGTGCGATGCACGGGGTCGTGCCATGCAGGGGGTCGTGCCACGAAGGACTTGTGCGATGCACGGGGTTGTGCACGAGGGACGTGGGTGATGCGCGGGGTTGTGCAGCGGAGGGGCAGTGCGATGCACGGGGGCGTGCGATGCACGAGGGGAGTGCAAGGCGGGTCTTGGGCGATGTGCGATGCACGGGGTCATGCAAGGAATGGCTGGTGTGATGCACGGGGGGGTGTGTGTGTGGGGGTGTGTGTGACCCAAGGGACTCGTGCGCCGCACGGGGTTTTGCAGAGGACTCGTGCCACGCACGGGGTGACGTGGCGTGTGCGTGGTGTGGACTTGGCGTGTGCGTGGCATGGGCTTGGCGTGGGCTTGGCGTGCACGTGGCGTGGGCTTAGCATGTGTTTGGTGTGGGCTTGGCATGTGCGTGGCTTGTGTTTGGCGTGTGTTTGGTGTGGGCTTGGCGTGTGCGTGGTGTGGACTTGGCGTGTGCGTGGCATGGGCTTGGCGTGGGCTTGGCGTGCACGTGGCGTGGGCTTAGCATGTGTTTGGTGTGGGCTTGGCATGTGCGTGGCTTGTGTTTGGCGTGTGTTTGGTGTGGGCTTGGCGTGTGCGTGGTGTGGACTTGGCGTGTGCGTGGCATGGGCTTGGCGTGGGCTTGGCGTGCACGTGGCGTGGGCTTAGCATGTGTTTGGTGTGGGCTTGGCATGTGCGTGGCTTGTGTTTGGCGTGTGTTTGGTGTGGGCTTGGCGTGTGCGTGGTGTGGACTTGGCGTGTGCGTGGCATGGGCTTGGCGTGGGCTTGGCGTGCACGTGGCGTGGGCTTAGCATGTGTTTGGTGTGGGCTTGGCATGTGCGTGGCTTGTGTTTGGCGTGTGTTTGGTGTGGGCTTGGCGTGTGCGTGGTGTGGACTTGGCGTGTGCGTGGCATGGGCTTGGCGTGGGCTTGGCGTGCACGTGGCGTGGGCTTAGCATGTGTTTGGTGTGGGCTTGGCATGTGCGTGGCTTGTGTTTGGCGTGTGTTTGGTGTGGGCTTGGCGTGTGCGTGGTGTGGACTTGGCGTGTGCGTGGCATGGGCTTGGCGTGGGCTTGGCGTGCACGTGGCGTGGGCTTAGCATGTGTTTGGTGTGGGCTTGGCATGTGCGTGGCTTGTGTTTGGCGTGTGTTTGGTGTGGGCTTGGCGTGTGCGTGGTGTGGACTTGGCGTGTGCGTGGCATGGGCTTGGCGTGGGCTTGGCGTGCACGTGGCGTGGGCTTAGCATGTGTTTGGTGTGGGCTTGGCATGTGCGTGGCTTGTGTTTGGCGTGTGTTTGGTGTGGGCTTGGCGTGTGCGTGGTGTGGACTTGGCGTGTGCGTGGCATGGGCTTGGCGTGGGCTTGGCGTGCACGTGGCGTGGGCTTAGCATGTGTTTGGTGTGGGCTTGGCATGTGCGTGGCTTGTGTTTGGCGTGTGTTTGGTGTGGGCTTGGCGTGTGCGTGGTGTGGACTTGGCGTGTGCGTGGCGTGGGCTTGGCGTGGGCTTGGCGTGCGCGTGGCGTGGGCTTAGCGTGTGTTTGGTGTGGGCTTGGCGTGGGCTTGGTGTTTGCTTGGCGTGGGCTTGGCGTGTGCTTGGTGTGTGCGTGGCATGGACTTGGCATGGGCTTGGCATGTGCTTGGCATGTGCTTGGTGTGTGCGTGGCATGGGCTTGGCATGTGCTTGGCGTGTGTTTGGTGTGGGCTTGGCGTGTGCGTGATGTGTGCTTGGCCTGTGTGTGCTGTGGGCTTGGCGTGGGCTTGGCATGTGCTTGGTGCGTGTTTGGTGTGGGCTTGGCATGTGCTTGGCGTGGGCTTGGTATGTGCTTAGTGTGTGAGTGGCATGGGCTGGGTGTGTGCTTGGCGTGTGCATGGTGTGGGCTTGGCGTGGGTTTATGTGTGTGTGGTGTGGGCTTGGCGTGTGCGTGGCGTGGGCTTGGCGTGTGCTTGGTGCGGGCTTGGTGTGGGCTTGGCGTGTGCTTGGCGTGGGCTTGGGGTGCGTGTGGTGTGCGATTGGCATGTGCGTTGCATGGGCTTGGCGTGTGCGTGGGCTTGGTGTAAGTGTGGGCTTAGCGTGTGCGTGGCGTGGGCTTGGCGTGTGCTTGGTGCGGGCTTGGTGTGGGCTTGGCGTGTGCTTGGCGTGGGCTTGGGGTGCGTGTGGTGTGCGATTGGCATGTGCGTTGCATGGGCTTGGCGTGTGCGTGGGCTTGGTGTAAGTGTGGGCTTAGCGTGTGCGTGGCGTGGGCTTGGCGTGTGCATGGCGTGGGCTTGGTGTGTGTGCGCATTGCATGTGCCGGCGTGGGCATGGGCTTGGGGTGTGCAAAGCGTGTGCTTGACGTGTGCGTGGTGTGGGCTTGGCGTGTGTGTGGCGTGTGCTTGGCATGTGCATGGCATGGGCTTGCCATGTGCTTGGCATGTGGGCAGCATGG